GGTTTTTAATTCTTATTGATTGATGAAAGGAGCTCTTGTAGCATAGTGGTTATGCATTGGGCTGTTAACTGCAAGATCAGAAGTTTGAATTCACTATTAATTCCTCAGAAGAAAGAAGAGACTTTCTGCTCCCATAAAGATTTATAGCCTCAGAAACCCTACACAGGGTCCCTGTGAGTTGGAAATGACTGGACAACACACCACCACCACCACTGATTAATGAGTTCTTCTATACATTAAGAATGGAAACCAGCGGTTTATTGGTAAATGTCTAACAATCAACTATTTAGGAGAAGATGAAATCTGGTTTATCATTTCTGCCTATTTCATGGTATAAATACTCCTACTATAACTGATTTCAAACACCTAACATGGTGACAACAATGGGGAGTGATATGCACATCAGCTCTGCAAGCTGGTGCATACTGGTCCCAGCGCAGCACTGAAACACTTGATAATAACATATGCTATGGACAGTTTTTCAGTTTGTTGTTTATATCTTAATTTTATTTACAATGTTTTTCTACAAGATTTGTACAAAATTTCACTTCATGATTTCTCTCCTTACTTTTAAAAATTAGAAAGCTCTTCATTCAGAGATGAGATCACCTGCTATATTTTATTTTTAGGATTTGGTTTCTAATGTATGTATTTTAATCTGTATTTTATAAGGTTGATTTTGATATATGGCATGAGGTAAGGATCTAAATTCATTATTTTATGAATAAGTACTCAGATCACAACATGATTCTTGAAATTCTTCCCCCTTTGATTTGTGAGTCTCATATATAACATCTTGCTTCCAAACATTTACCAAGATCCTCATAAACTTACGTTGAACTATTTGGCTACACATCAGCATCACACAGATTTACTGTATTCTTGCTAAATGTTTTAAAATTTATCACTATTCTTTTAAAAAAAAAGACTGTAGCTAGTATTTTTGACACTTCTATGTCTCCGCTTAAGGTTGTATTTGCTTTTAAGATGTCTCAATCTGACAGTTTATTAATGTGAAGAATTCTTAGTATAGTCTTTGAAATTTCTGCAATTCACTTGCTACAAAAATTCCACTATAATAAAATCCACAGACTCCTGGTGTGGTGCTGTAGGATCAGCACTGGACTGCGAACCACAAGGTTGGCAGTTCAAATCCACCAGCTACTCCATGGAAACCCTATACAGGGTCACTGTGAGTTGGAACTGGCTTGATGGCACTAAGAACAAACAAGCTTGAATATGTTGTTTTAAATCACATTTTTTTGGTACTTTCCCAAAATTCTATACTCTCACTTATTTCAGAATAAATTCAAATTAATTGTTTAAATGTTAAATAAGGCAAATTTTCTCTTCAGAAAAACAGAACCATTTCCATTTTTATATACTTATATGTACATGCAAAAAAAATATTAAAACCACTATTCTCAGGAAAGTCAGTTTTATTTCCAGAATACCAAGATATAATAATGTCATCATTAAAGATATGCAAATACAAAATCTGAGTACACGAGTACAAAATCTGAATACATCCAAGCCATAAATCGCTCATATTCTCTAAGAAATCTAGAATAAACTTCTTTTGCAACCATTTGTGAAACAATTTGATCCAACCATATTTGCTTGTGTTCGTTGAATTAGCTGTATTGGGATTCACTTTCAATTCATAAACGGCCTTACCTGAAGATATATTAAAAATCACTTTTCAAAAGTTACCACCTGTTGTGGTATCATTTTTTAAAATGTTTTTATTGTGAATTGAGTGACAGTTTACATGGGAGAAAATCAGTTTTACATTCATTGTTTATGATTACAGTCTCCTCCATGCATCATCATTCAACAGTATTTGTTTCTGTTCCCTCTGTTTTTTTTTAGGGTGGGGGGGGGATGTACACAAAAACACTCAGGAATATATAATCATTTAAATAACCACAGGGTACATTCTGCAAGCCTGCCTCCTGGTCATCAGCACACAGCCTTTCTCTTTCCCTGAAGTCTAGAGTCTTTAGCTGCTCCTTCTCTCCATGTCTTCATCTCTGCCTCCATCTCTGGTGTCACTGCTTCTCTGGATAGGGTCCCACATTCTTCTCCTTTGATGGTCTTAGGGTCTTCTGTTTCTGGACTGTAACATTAACTGTTTTTTTTATTAGGTGCCATCGAGTCGGCACCAACTCATAGTGAACTTATGCACAGCAGAACAAAACAATGTCCAATCCTGGGCCAACCTCACTACTGTTGCCACACTTGAGTCCATCCATGCTGCCACCTGACCAATCTATCTTGTTGGGGGTCTTCCTCTTTTTCTCTGAACTTCCATCTCACCAAACATGATATCCTTCTCCAGAGACTGTTCCCTCCTGACAATATGTCCAAAGTATGAGAGATGAAGTTTGGCCACCTTGGCCTCCAAGGAGCACTCTGGCTGCACTTCTTCCAAAATGGATCTATTGGTTCTTTTGGCAACCCATGGCACTTTTAGTATTCTCCTCCAACACCATAACGCAAAGGCATCAATTCTTCTACGATCTTCCTTATTCACTCTCCAGCTTTCGCATGCATATGAGGTTATTGAAAATACCATGGCTTGGGTCAGGCGCAGTTTAGTACTCAAGCTGACATCTTAGCTCTTCAGCACTTTAAAAAGTTTCTGTGCAGCAGATTTGCTTAATGCAATACGTCGTCTGGTTTGTTGGCTGCTGCTTCTGTGAGTGTTGATAGTTGATCCTAGAAGAATGAAGTCCTTGACAACTTCAATCTTTTCTCCATTGATAAGAATGATGTTTATTGATCCAGTGGTGAGGATTTTTGTTTTCTTGACATTGAGATGTAATCCATACCGAAGGCTGTGCTCTTTGATTAAGATTAATTACTCCCCCCTTTTTGTTACAAAACTTCTGCCTTACAGTTGTGAAAGTCACAGTCATAGCATCAATTATTCACTATTGAAACATAAGAATCTTATCCCCATCTCCTTTCACCAGACCTGTCTAGACAAGATGAAAACTGTTCAGTGGTGATTCTATATTTTCTTTCCCCACACACCTGAAAATTAAATTCCCTCTTGAAAACTTGCAAGTCACTTCGTGCCTTTATAGCCAGCCACCACGACCACACCGCCCCTCATTTCAGGTAGCCAATGTCTAAGTTGCCCATCCCTATCAATGCTGTATACAGAGGGGATAGGATTGATACTTGATATGAAGACTCCTTCCTTCTCAGTTGGTATTTTGAGCTACTACATCCATAAGTATAGGCCAAGTTAATCAAATTATAGCAATTTACACCTGTTCCCTTTATAAAAAATTGTGTTTTTTAAAATCTTCCTCTAGCCTGGTTCTGATCATCAAGCCATTGAAGCTAACAAGTTTGGGTGTTCTTGTGCATCTCTCTTCACTTCCTATCAGCTGGACACTTCACTCTCAGCTCTGGCCCTCTATGATTATGTCCTTGCATGCTCAGGAGTCCCCAGGTCTCACCACACTTCAGACCAACCAGTCCTTCCTCTTCTCTCTCTTATTGCCAGGTAGATGGGTGTCTATGGAATGTGGTCTAACTCAGCCCATATCTTCATTGTTGCCTTTCCATCTTCGACTCACCAGCTGACCAACATGATCACCAGCAATCTTACATGCTTGTTCATGTGTTTCCTTTGAGTTTCAGTCTTGAAGGGGGATTTGTCCTGAAGGGATTTTATTGCTTGCCTTGATGGCTCCCCTGCAAACAACTTACTTACTCTTATAGCAGCCAATCAGACTGCCATTTTTGTTTTGGATTTTTCCTACTGGTCTTTCTTTCAAGAAGTATCTTCTGTTCCTCTAGCTGTTCCAGGCTGGTCTGTTTGTCCTTTCTAGTGGGAATGTCCCACCTCAGAAGGTTCTGGATGAGGCTCAGGATTACATCTAGGGTCCTATATACTACAAAGGCTCCACAAGAAGCCTATTTCACTGGGCAAGTTTTAGAACCCCTTTTAAGTATTCCAACCAGTTATAGGCTGAAGACAAGTTTACAACCTTTCTGTAATCATGTTTTCCAATTCCTTTCTATCCCACTCAAGTGTCTATTTTATAATAGTAGGCAAGAGAAACCAATATTCATAAGACAGTCAAACATCTAAACATGATTTCCCTTCTTCAGTCTATGCCTTGATCCCTGCATCACAGAGCCCTGTTATTACAAGCTTGAGCATACATCACTATTTGTCTCTGTCCCATTTTGTGGTATCATTAATAAAAATAAAAATAAAAATAAAAATTTTAAAACAATGATACCCAAATGGCAACCTATAACTGTATTGGACCAATAAACACAATTTGTTTGGTCCATATGTTGTTGTTGTTGTTAAGTGCCGTGGAGTAGGTTCCGACTCATAGTGACCCTACACAGGGTTTCCGAGGCTGTAAATCTTTACGGGAGCAGACCGCCTCATCTTTCTCCCGCGGAACGGCTGATAGTTTTGAACTGCTGACCTTGCGGCTCACAGTCCGATTCGTAACAACTACGTTACCAGAGCTCCTTATAGTGTTTAGAAAAGATTTTGAATAAGGTGTCGACATTTTAAAAACTGGGAAATTTCACATAAAATCTGGATTTCTGGCTTCTATTGAAATATCATTTAGACTTAGAAACAATAAATTGACATGTACCACCCTAATCCTATCATACCCTCATCTCTGAAAGAGCTCCAGTAGCATAGTGGTTACAAGTCAAGCTGCTAAACTCAAGGTGAGCAGTTTGAAACTACCAACCATTCCAGGGGAGAAAGATGAGGCTTTCTACTCCCTTAAAGATTTTACAACCTCAGAAACCCTATGCAGGGTCACTATGAGTCAGAACTGACTCCCTGGCACACCACCACCACCACCCTCATCTCTGAGATAGGACTGCCTCACTCATCTACATTCTCAGCCAAACAACAACCATTGGATTTTGAAATCTTACTTCATATGATCTTTTCTTCCTATGTAGCATGGTAAATTAATGGGAATTTTAATTCAAAATTCTAGGTTTTAGAAGACCAAATAAGAGCTCGAGACCAGGCGACCACAGGAACTCATTTTGCAGTGAAGGAGCTAAACACCAAACACCTGCAGGGAGTTGGAGATCTTCGTGGAAGAGTAGCCAGGTGAGAGGAATTAAATAGCAATTGGCAGTCAGTTTTGGCCACTGAATTCTCATTCTCAAATAAGTTTCATACTGTAGAAAACAAGACTTTGTCTTCACTTTAAACTAAACTGCTTAGATGGTGGTTGAGGAAGGTGGATCATAGGACTTTGACAGCCTAATGTTTTCAAAACTTCATGGGAAATCCAAAATTTCCATAAAAGATCCTATATGCATCCAGAAATCACCAGAATGTCTTCTTTATAATCATCAACTTCCCAAATCCCAATACCCAAAACAGACACAACTGCACTTCAAAAATTCCTAGGTGTGTCAAATTTGAAAAGTTAAAATATTAAAAAATACACAGGAATTACTTATAAGTGTCTAGCAAAAGGGCTTTACTATCAAATGGACATCTTTTGTATGAGATTTATAAATCAAAATAATTAATGCTACACAGCTCAACAAAAATCTGTGGGCATTGACAATGGAAGAACCACTTTGGCAAACATGCCAAAGATAATTTGTGAGTGACTGATCATGAACACCTTTCCATCCTTATATCTTCTGCCAGTAGCTCTCTCCTCCCATCTGGAATATCCTCACCCCATTTTCTTAATCTGCTCTGTGGTGTCACTGACCAAATATGAATCAGATGGTTGACACTTAAGACAAATCTCTCCTAAAGTATCCTCCATTTAATTCAACAAAAATGTATTGAGTACTTGACCACATCCAAGTAATGTGATAGGCCTCAGGGATTCATAGACATGGTCTTAGTCCCACTGTTTTTCACAATTGAGCTGGAAAAACAAGCTGTATCAATTGGCAACAAAATGAGCATGAAGATGAAAATCAGGGGTGCCCTGGGAATCTCCCAATCAGATTGCAGCATAGGTAAAACTTCCCTGAGAATGTTATAGAGATGAGTTTTGAAGGATTTGGTAGTTAGATAAGGAAAGGGGAAAAGACACTTTGCATAAGAGGGAAAATATGTGCAAAGGAACTGAAGGATGAATTTTTGCATGTTTAAGTGCTTACCTATGAGAAGAGTATTTTGGTTATGGCATTTTGGGGTTTGCATATATAGAAAGAGATGGGTGATAAAGTGGTCCCAAGTTGAATGTATACACACACACACATACATATAAAATTATTTTATAAATGTATAAATATATTTTTATACTTTAAAAATACATAGTTATATTTTATCATATATTTTTATATACAAAAGAATTTTTATAATATGGATATGCTATGAATCAAGATAATGAGACAAACTTCCACTAATCCATCACCCTACTTAGATGTACCATGATTTTACAAAGCATGTTAAGTACCAAATCTCTGTTTTAAATGGACCTTGTGGAGTAGTTGGTTGATTTGAACCACTAACCTTGCGGTTAGAAATCCAGTGCTTGTATATATATATATATATATATATATATATATATATATAATATACAGAGAAAGATATATATATATATATATATATATATATAGAGAGAGAGAGAGAGAGAGAGAGAGAGAGAGAATCCTTTTCTGCTTCATAAATCAAGCTCAATGGTTGATAACTATAATGAATTTCTCACTCTATTTCCAACCCCAATACAGTAGCAGTTTAAAAGCAACTGCTTCCAATAAAACGAGGTTCTCAGATTGCTTGGCCGGTTATTAACACCCTTTCCTGTTTGAGGAGTCCTGGTGGGCCACTGTAGAATAAGCAATGGACTGCCTACCATAAGGTCATTGGTTCAAACCCACCAGCTGCTCCTTAGAAACCCTCTACAGGGTAACTATGTGCCTGAATTGACTCCAAAGCACTTAACAACAACAGCCCCTATTTGATCCTTAGTCTTCCTTGCAGAAAGAGAAAAGGTGAGCATGCCAAGGGTACCCAAAGGGCTGGATATAAATTACACTCTGCAGCAGAATCAGAGGAGGCCAAACTCAAGCTTCATTTGATTCTTTGAAGCCTCAAGACAGATCTCCAGATTGTAGGGTAAAAAAGAATTATGTGTGATTAAAAGTAAAAAGCATGTCCTTTGAAGGAATAACAAACACATTATAGAGATGGTTAGTTTTTTAAAATATAAATAAAGACATTTTTACTCTACTTTTCTCACTTGGGACACCTCAAAGTCAATGAAAGACACAAGGAAAACAGCCACTCCATCTTTAGTACAACAAAAAAGTTGTCACAATTACTAACCACAAACAGCCAACTTAGCAGTATTGCTGTGTTTGGACTGACACTGACCTCTTTAGACCAAAAACAAAGTGATTTCCCCAAATCAAGACTCATGACCCTGAAAGGTTTAAGGGAAATCGTTTGAAAACATACTCACTATGAGTCAAAATCGACTGTACAGCAACAGGTTATGAAGTGTTTCTCAAAAAGTCACTAGAGAGTATCCTTCATCAAACTAACGAAGTAAAACCAAGAAAAGAAGGTCCTGGAAAAACCAAATCTGCATCAACACTAAAGCAAAGGGACTTCCTTTGAAAGACATAAAAAGAAATCCCAAAGAGAAAAAGAATGGAAATTTCCAGGAATGATGTCTTCAAGAAAAAAATTGAAATTAATAGATTATCTGATGTAAATGACCCCCAGAAAATTCTATTCAAGAGTCTATTGGAGAAGGGGTGGAAAGGTACAGATACAAAGAAAACTCACCTGACTTTATATAAAGGTAATTATTAACATAAAGAGAAACAAACAAACAAAAATCAGGAAAGGAAAGAATAACTGTATATTTCATCACTCAGCTATAAAATGGTATTTTCACTGGCATAATAAAGTAAACTGAATATTGACATAACCACAAATTGTAATATGTGGTTATGGGAAGAATGGTAACAGGTAAAGGACGTGACAGTGTAAGATAGCTAAGTCTTTATCTACCACCATTGTTGTTGTTAAGTGCCATCGAATTTGTTTTGACCCATAGCAAATCTGTATAGTGTTTCCGAGGAGCAGCGGTGAACTTGAATCTCTTACCTTGCGATTAAAAGTGACTTTCCAGTTCAGCACATTAACCCACAGCACCACATCTATAAATGTCAGACGATATATCAATACTACTCAAGAAATTCTAAGGGTGATGATGGCGGTCTGTTTCAACTCATAGTGATCCTGTATTGGGTTCCTGAGGTTGTAAATACTTATAGGAGCAGAAAACCTCATCTTTCTCACGTGGAACAGCTAGTAGTTTTGAACTGCTGACTTTGTGGTTCACAGCCCGATTCATAACCACTACGCTACCAGAACTCTACTATTTATATCTATTTATTCTTGTTGTTAAGCGCCATTGAGTCAGTACTGACTCATAGCGACCCTGTACAGGGTCTCCAAGACAGTAGTATATCTTTTCAGGAATAGAAAATCTCATCCTGCTCCCATGGAGCAACTGGTGGTCTTGAACCTCTAACCTTGTGGTTGGCATGTGCTTCATAATCTATTTATATTGTTAAGTGCTGTTGAGTAGGTTCTGACTCATAAAGATCCTGTGTAGGATTTCCAAGGTATGGTTGGTGGGTTTGAACCTTGCAGTTCAAACTAACTGTTGTCCAATGTTTATCCTACAGTGCCACCCCCACTCCCTAATCTATTTTAACAGAATACTTGCAGTATTTCTCTATATGCTTATCTGTATGTGCTATAAAGGAGCCCTGGTATGACGCTGTAGGATAAGTACCAGACTGATCACTGAAATGTCGGCAGTTCAAACCCACTAGTCATTCTTCGGAAACTTTATACAGGTTCACTATGAGTCAGAACTGACTTGAAGGCACTTAACACTTAACAACCACAACTACTAATGTGTTATAAATAGATGTAGTTCTGGTGTGGCACTGAAGGATAAGCACTGGACTACTAACCACAAGGTTGGCAGTTTAACCCCAACAGCCATTTAACAGCCACAACAACAAATGGTGTGTCCAAAGTAAGTGAACTGGACTATGTTCTATTGTAATCCATAAGGTTTTAATTGGCTCCGATCTTATTCTAAAAGAGCTGCTGAAACCATGGGTGAGCCTGCTAGTGTGTGATGGCATAGTTTCAAGCTTCACAGCAACACAGAAGCCATGATAATAAAACAAATTGACAGATGGGTGGTGGGTAGATATAAATGGCGGTGATGGTGTTACGCTATGGAGTCAGTTCCAACTCATAGCAACCTGAATAGGGAGCAGAAAGTCTCATCTTTCTCCTGAAGAGCCACTAGTAGATTTGAACTGCTGACCTTT